TCATTTCAGAGGAGATAAACACATAAAAACACACACTTAGCTTCTTTTTTGAAAAGTCTGTTACATAGGGCTCAAAGATCAAAGTCTAAAAGGTCCAATTTCTTCACTTCATTGGTCAATGACACAGCTTTGAAAAAGAGGAAAAACAGTCCCCCAATGCACTGCTGCTGTAGAAAGAGGAAGTATGTTAGTTGAGAATCACTGACAGAGACAGCACAGCCAAAGGAAATTACAAAACAACATTTTGGCAACAAGGGCCAAGCAGACAGATTCTTCACACAAAACTATAACTTGGTCTTTTGAAAGGTGACAGATCAAAATTATAAACCAGCATGGAATTTTTGGCCCTTTGGCAATTTAAAACTTAACTTTAAAACAAAAGTTTCAAATAAAATAGCTTTTTTTTTCTTTCAGTGTTTTTGAGTCAGGGTCTCCCTGTAGCCCTGGCTGACCTGAAACTCACTATGGAGACCAAGCTAGCCTTAAAAATAGCATTTTTTTTTAAAGCTGGGTTGGTGGCACATGCCTCTAACCCCACCACTCGGGAGGCAGAGGCAGACAGATATCTTTGAGTTCCAGACCAGCCTGGTCTACACAGTGAGTTCCAGGCCAGCTGGGGCTACAGGGAGACCCTGTCTCAAAACAATCAAAGACAAAGAAGCACCACCCTGTACTACACAAAGCATTACTCTTAATACAATGTGTTGAACTGGGTGCATTCATCCAAAGAATAAGAGTAAATACACAAATCATCATGGCAGGTCATCTTTTTTTTTTTTTACCTTGGCAACAAGCCAGAAGGCACTCTCTCTCAACATGAAAAAGGCTTACACTCAAAGGCTTGCCCTCTGTCACGGCAGTAGCAGGTCTTTACACAGTACCCCACAGACACCTGCTGCGCCTTATATGATCCTGCCCTAACCCATGAAAAATATATGTAAGTGTGGGGATCTGGACATGGAGTGATAAGTAGGCCTTCTTGGTAAACCCGAGTCCTTAGGGATCTCCCCAAGGCCAGGGGAACTGAGAGAACTCACTAGTTCAACTATGGGTGCACTGTAAGTAAACTTAATCTGAATAAAGGAAATGTAACCTTTTCCCCACATAACCACATCTGATTGTTCATTTCTACTTTAATGGCTAGGGTAAGGGAGCCTGTGAGATACCATCATCCTCCCTGGCCCAGTGTGCATCTGACAACTGTTCCTTGACCAAGGACTTCCTCTTTTGTTAAAATGCAATTCTTGCCACTTTGTACTTCCTAAGCAACCACACTGACACTGTGCAGCTACCTAAATATGACACAGACTCTTGGCCTCCATTCTTCTGTGTGTCTTTCTGATGCTGAAATAACCACCAAGGTGTTTTTAGACTTGCTTTTCAGGAAAGTAAATGATTTTTTTAAAAAGATCAACTTAAATAAAATAGTATGACAAAGAATAAAGACCTCTAGAACTATAGCTACTAATTAACTTTGTACTAACTAGCTGTGTGATCTTAGAAGACTTTAATCTCTTGAAATATCAGGTGTTTCACTAAAAAAAAATTAAGATTGAACTACATCAAGAAACTTCATCCCAGCTATACATTAAGATCACCTGAGAAACTAAAACAACAAAATTGATGAGTCATCAATTAGCTGGACATGAGTCCAGTTAGTTAAAGCAGATTCTCTGAGTGCTAGTTATTTTTCTATTCTCAGGCAGATTCTAAAATTCAACCAGCACTGAAAACAACTGATCTAAATTCTAATTCCAAAGGCTTTGTTTCTAATTCTTTCATTCTGTAATCTTACAGATATAATTTTGGTTATAAGGCCTTATAACGTAATAGACCAAAAATTCACAAAAGAAATATGGCTTAGACCCTGCAAACTTACCCTGAATGCAAATGTCTAGAAGCTAACCTGAATTTCAGACATTTCTAGAAGCTAAAAATCCTAAAGTATAACTCAGAATTAAAGTATAGTTAAAATACAGACATGTTCCCAAAATGATAGAAACCAGTTCCTTACCTTGGCTGCACGGAAGTGGGTCTCAATTAGCTCCTGACCTCTTTTACCTTTTTATCCACTCCCTCTAAACCACCAAACTAAAAAAGGCTGGCGACCAGACATAACAGTATGTGAAACAAGCCTAGGTTTCAAGTAACCTTCTCCCGATCGTTAAAGATTTGAAAGTTCCTACAAGGCTACATCTTTTGATGTAGGTCATCATACAAAAAACCTTGACTAGGTTGGGTATGGTGGTGCACACCTTTAATCCCAGCACTGGGGAGGCAGAGGCAGGCAGATCTCTGTGAGTTCCAGGCCAGCCTGGTCTACACAGTGAGTTCTAGGCCAACCCTATTAAAACCTGTTTAAGTAAAAATAAATGTATGCTCTGAACTAAATATACTAAGCCTTGAGATACTCGATTGGCAATATTTTATAAGGCTTTAGTTGAAGAAAAATGAGATAGCAGGGAAAGAAAAAACATGAGACAAAAAGTTCTGATGTAAAACTACATGATTAGATCCCTGCATCTCTACTGCAATGCTGAGAAGCTCTATAAAAATATGGATCAATCTCAACGTATTTACTTTTGATAATCACTTCTGAAGTAACTCTTAAAAAAAAACTTATTGAGCGCCGAGTGTGGTGGCGAAGGCCTTTAATTCCAGCACTTGGAAGGCAGGCTGATCTCTGTGAGTTCAAGGCCAGCCTGGTCTACAGTGAGTTCCAGACCAGCTGGGGCTGTAAGGAGATCGGTCTCAAAAAGACCCCAAGAGGGCTGGAGTGATGACTCAGCAGTTAAGTGGACTGACTGCTCTTGCAGAGGACCTGGGTTCAATTCCCAGCATCCACAGGGCTGCTAACAATCCCCCATAACTCCAGTTCCAGGGGATCTGACGCCCTCTCTTCTGACCTCTGTGGGCGCTGCATGACACGAGTGCACCTACCTACATGCAGGCAATACACTCATACACAGGAAATGAAAATTTAAAAAAAGTTTAAACTTACTGAACTGATATTATCTTTATAAACAAACAGCAAGAAATGCTACTTGTAGAATTACATTATTTTTGTAATCTTAAAAATCAGAGGAAAAGGAGGCCAGTAAAATAGCTCAATGGGTAAAGGTGCTTGCTAACAAGCCTGATGACCTGAATTCCATACCCAGGGCCCAAATGGTAGAAGGAGAGAACCAACTCCTGAAAGCTGTCTGACCTACACACACCTACACACACACACACATACACGCACGCACACTCACAAATAAATGTAGAAAAAGTTTTTTTTACATCATAGGAAAAGTTTTCTTTCTATGTTAACTTCTTAAGTTAGGTAACTAATAGATTCCCTGTATCAAATTCAAACTTGTAGGATGTAACAAGTATGAAATTTTTGAAAAATCTTCCAAATTCCCAAATTGATTTTCTCAGATTCTACATGCTCCCTCCTTCCAGACACTGCACGATGACAATAACCCTTGCCATCAACTTCAAAACCTAGTTTTTAAAGCTGCCACATTAGCAACACTTTCAGAGCCTTTATAACTTTCTCACACATGTGGCATTCCTTTGGAACTCAAAATCAGGTCAAATATAAGATTCATAATGTCCAGTTGTATGAACTGAAATGAGACTTGAAGAATGGTATCAAAGCATGTGTTTTGCTTTTAAACCATCTAAACAAGGTCTTTTCAATACTAGGCACTTTTTTCTAAGGCGCTTTATGTGCAAGGCTTTTCTAAAAGCAAATAAAAACGTTCCCTAAACCCTTTACTTTTTTCATATATACACACACCCTTTTCCCTTGCTTCATTTCAGTTCTCCAGATACTGAACTGTTCTTATTTTATACACTTAAGAAACCTAGAACCCAGGAAGATTCAGAGCTCCCAGTGAAAACAAAGGAAGGGACAAAAGAAAGAAGCAACTACTACTTTACTTTTAAAAAAGGTAAACTGTAAGTAGGAGCAACTGACAAGTGACTGTAACTCCAGGGATGATGTAGGACTCTTCTGCCTGAATCCAGCATATTCCTATCTTAGGAAAAGGGACCAAGGAGGCGGCCAGGAAGAAGTCTACAGGAGAACAGGATGCCCAACTACAGAAAGTCATTTCCTCACCTCTCCCTACCACATGTCCAATGCCCCAAGGGACTGAAAAGGAACAGAAGAGGGTCTCTCCTCAGATTCATTTGTAGGTAGAGGTCATTAAGGCCCATCCCTGTTCTCAATCCTCCCTTCCAACCACTTAGGTCAAGTGCAGGCAGGCCCAAGTCTCCAAGATGTCACACTTGCCTCAAATAGTTCCAACAGCCCTAGGCCAGGGCCCTAGTCCACCTTCAGGTGACAAGCCTGGCCCATTCCAGGCCCCAGGACACTTCAGAGGCTACCTGGTAGCAAGCTTACTGGAGCTACATCTTGGAGGAACAAGGGTGCCTGCACAGGAAAGGAAGCCGACCAGGAAAAGGTTTGAGATCCTTGCTTTTTCTAACGGGATCGACGGCCACAAGTTGGACCCAAGGATTCTCATTCAAGTCATATACCATGCTCCTGCGACAAACTTGAACCTACACAGCTGGCCTCCCATCCTGTGGTCACAGAGTCCCAAATACTCCCCGCCACCTCCAGTGTTCTCGCTGCACCCCAGTACAGTTAACTCTATTCTCTTTATTCCAGTTGGCCACAGACCTACCTCCTTCTCGGCAGTCGCTGTCGGGGGTAACCCAGCCAATGCTAATGTTCCTCTGGCCTCCCCGTCCCTTGCCAACAGTCTCCTAGCTTGGTCATGCCCAAGGCATGCCCTCTTTCCACATTCAGGCCGTCCCCAGACTTCCCTCTGCCAGAGGTGAAAGAGAAGTCCCCAAAGCCTCCCAGCCAACGCTCCCTGGCCAACCCAATCCCCGCGCCCGCAGACGCAGCCACGCTCGACGCGCTCGCTCCAAGGCCCGCCTGGCGCAGCGCAGGAGGCCTGACAGGTCGGGCAGCCAGCCCCAGGTGGGTACGTACGCACCTTCCAGCCGGCAGAGCTGTTGCTGTCACCCTTATCCTTGAAGTAGGGCACACAGCGCACCATCCACTCGTAGATCTGGGAGAGAGTAAGCCGTTTGTCCGGGGAGCTCTCGATGGCGCGGGTGATCAGGTCGGCGTACGACAGGTTCCCCCACGCGTTCCGCCGCGAGGAGCATTTCCTCGGCTGCCCGGAGCCCCCGGCCGCCCCTGGCGGCGGTGCTGGCAGTGGCTGCTGAGGCTGTAGCGGCGTCTGCATGCCCCCGCTCAGCGCGCCGGTGGCGGGAGCTGGCCCGGACCCGAGGTCCTGCCCTCCGGGAGCCAGCAGCCGGGCCGAGTCCTCCAGGAGCAGCCCGGAGCCCAGCGAGCCGCTCCCGCCGCCACCGATTGCCATGGTCGAGCTGACTCGGCCGCTGTCCTCGTCGTCTTCGTCGTCGTCCTCCTCGGGGATCATAGAGTCGGCGGCCGTCTCCCCCGAGGGCTTGGCCGGGCTCGCCTGGAGCTCCGGCCTCTGCAAGGGCCACGTACAAGAGCGCGGCCGGCTCTGAGGCTCGAACTCCGGGTCCAGCTCCACTTCGAGCGGAGAGAGCGGGACCGGGGAGGCGGGTGCCTCTGCCATCTTCGCCGCCAGCCCGCGGCTCGGGCTCTTCCACTCTCCTCTGGCGCCCGGGCGGGGTGCGGCGGGGGAGGGAATGGGGCGCCGCGAAGGCTCGGGCTCCGGGGCGCCGCTGCCGCCGCTGCCTGGAGAAGCGCTAACAGAGAGGAGAGTTGGTTATCCCGGTCGGGAGGCCAGTCCTCGCGACTCGCCGCCGCCTCCCAGGAACGGGCAGACCTGGGGACGTGCGTCCCGCGAAACCTGGCTCCGCAGACGCCGCCCCCTGGCCAGGCCGCCGGGGAGACGCGAGCGAATCGACAGGCGCGCGGGGCAGCCCCCTCCCCCGCTCGCTCTGCAGGTCCCTCCCGGGCTCGGTGGCGGGGCGGGGAGGACGGGGGAGGGGCGGCCGCGCCTTTAAAGTGGGCAGCGGCCCGCGCGGGGGCAGCCCCGCCGCCGTCCGAGGGTGGGCGTGCGTTTGTTTACGTTGCGCTCCGGGCCGCTCCAGCGCCTCCCGAGTCCGGGCACTTCTCCTCTTCCCCAGCCCAGCCGCCTGCGCGACCCCCGCTGCACACCCCTCCCAGCGCAGCGGCCCGAAACCGGGGCTGCCAGCTCCCTCCGTCCCCTCTCCACCCGAGGACCAGCAAGGGGTCCGCGCGGAGAGCGGCCCTGCTCATTTCCAACTAGGGAGAAGGGACCAGCACTATACACCGAGCGTCCAGTCCCGCAGGAGCGGCCACTTCAGGGCTCGGTGCTGGGTCTTCTGGGTGCCCTCCGCCCCGTTCCCAGCCAGGCACGGGGCGGGGGGGGGGGGGGGGAGGAAACAAGTGGAAACATAAATCTTCCAACAGGTCGGGAAGCGCCGAATCTCCCGGGCTGCCAGCTAGCCCGGACCTGCACGTTCATCACACCTCCTCGCTGCTGCCATCTTGACAGTTTCCCCCTTCCCTCAAGTCCTCTCCAAACACTAGCGAGAGAGAAGGGGAGCACACCGAGTCACAGGGAGGGGAAGGGAAGCGCCTGGCCCAGCTCGGAAACAGATCCGGAGTCACTGGGAAGGCGGCCGCCCCGCTGCACCGCTCTGGCGCCTACCTCGGTTCCTTTCCCTTCAGGGACGAGGCGGGGGTGCGCACGATCCCGCACGGGCCCGGGGCACGGCGACGAGGGGGCGCTCGGGCCGTAGCCCGCGCGAGGAACCGCCTGTCAGCTCGCGCGCCGCCACCTTCCACATTCCTCCTCCCTACCACGAGCAGGGCGGCCGCGGCAGCAGCACAAAGTTATAGACACACGCAAGGAGCCTCAACCTAAGCTGACGGCGGGCGGGCGGGCGGATCCCCGCCCAGGGGGAGGGCTGGGGCGGGCGCTGGGGTTCTGCCGTGCGTGCGTGTGGGAGTGCGCGTGTGTGCTTGCTTGCGCCTGCGCGGCCCGACTCCCCCCCCCCAACCCCGCGCGGAGGGGGCGTGGCGAGCGCGCGCAGCTGGCCGGGGCTCTGTGGGCCTCGAGGGCTCTGTGGGCCTCGGTGGCTCTGTCCCAAGAATCTCAATGGCCACCGAGCGCGGCGCTGGCCCGCGAAGGGTGGAGAGGGAAGAGCGCAGAGCCAGGAATTGGAACGCAGTCGCCTGGCCTTCCCTGCTCTAGGCGGGCGCTGCACATTAGGGGGTCCCAGCCGGCGCGCTCGCCAGACAGTGGGGGACCGCGGCCTGACCTCCGTTCTTGCCTTATGGGGGTCCCCGGCCTGTGCGCCTGCCTGACGTCAGGCGGCCCCAAACTGCGAGCTCGCACTCCGAGCTCGGAGCCCGCCCCAGTATCCGGTTCCCCATTAGAACCTGACACCGAGATAAGATGGTGACCGTAAATGACAAGGGTTACCTCGGCGTGGAAACACGGACCCTCCAAGATAGTGGTGCCTGCAGGACTTCGATAAGCCGAGGCCCTCAGATCGGATCATCACCGGAAGGTGTGTCCTGGGGCCCTTACCTGAACGCTCCATCACAATCGTGAGATTCGTGGATTTCCCGGCAAACGGGAGCGTGTAAGTGGAAGAAAAGCGCTTTAGGTCCCAATCCTAAACGGGAAAGCAGAATCCTAACAACTTAGAGTGAGTTTTACTTCCATTGTAAAGCAGAGAAGCTAACTGCATGTTTGACTTTTTAAAGAAAAGATGAGCTTTTGAACTTAAAATAGCATTTTCACGTGTCATCCACTCACGATCCATGCCCCTAAATCCCTCATTTGTGTTTTAACGTACCACAGTAGACATGCACCCCAAAAGTCTACCCACTCTAGTTCAGAGATATCTTTTTAAACAACATCCTTCTAAGTCCCTGCAGATAAAGTCTGGAAGTAGGCTCCGCAAACTCAGACCCTCGGAGGAGCCTCTGCTGGAGTCCGCCCACCGCGGGACTCCGGCTTCCAGGTTTTGCATTCCACCCATCACACAAGTGACGCGCCACCCCGCCCCTGCACCAAGCTAGTTCGACGCGTACAAACAGATGATGTCATTGTCTCCACACGCGCGTGACCCCGGAGCTCTGCGCCGCGTCGCCATTCGCTGCGCGGCTTACTCGTCAAGCCACGCCGTGCGCTGACTGGCCGTAGCCACGAGTCTCCGGGCCCTCGACGCCCCTCTCCAGTCCTCGCCTCCGCCCCCAGCAAATAATAAACAATCGAGTAAAACTGGCAGGCAGGAGGGGCAGAGGAGAGAGACGGCACCCGCCAAGACTGCCCTCCTCTGCGCGCTGACGGCGTGAGGACTGATGGGGGACGTGAGGGCCGAGGGACGGGGCTGCGCGCGGACCTGGGCGGCGGGCGCAGCGGGCTGCGGAGTAAACTTGGGGTGTGTGCGGCGGGCGTTAGGGCCTGGGAGAGTCGGCGGGCCGGGGGCGGGGACTGGCAGCGCGTGAGCCGAGCGGGCCGCGTCTACACGTGCGGGGGGAGGGCGGGGGCGCGCTGCGGAGCGCTCGGGCTGTGCGCGGCCCCGATGCCGCGCGCGCTTGTTTACCAGTGCACGTGGTTGTTATTTTTAAATGGAATGTGGGGCTGGCGGTGCTGTGGCTCGGCTGACGCGTGGGGCCGCCCGCGTTGGCGGAGGAACGCGGTGAGAGGCTGAGCCGCGGCCTCCCCGGGCGCCGTCTCCGGGCAGCCTGGCTAGCCTTGCGTAACCCGAGGGGGCCCCGGGATTTGGACTGTGAGTTTCGAACCCTGCCCTGGCGTCAGGGAGGGGACGGGCGCCTGCCGCTCCGACTCCTGCTTTCGCTTGGAGCAAAGCGGCTGCCCCAGGCAGTGTCCCACGTAAGGCCGATGCGCACACCTTGACCGCAAGATGGACTCTGAGCACGCTGCTTTCCACTCGAATGTTCCCAGTCCGTTTGTGCAGGTTTGGGGCTTCCCGCTCTGCCCACGTGAACAGATAAATGCACTTCTGCCACCTCAGGTTTGGAAATCGCAGTCTGCTTCCAAGGGTTGTTAGACCTCCTGAGAGATCGATCCTTCCTGTCTTTGTGGACCGTCTCCACTGAGAAGCCCCAAACGTGGTTTTGATTTCCAGCCAGGCAGCGTGGACGGTGACGTAGTGCCCGTGCCCCGAATGTGGAGGGTGTGAGAGGGAGGCTGATATACTGCGTCTGGGGATCTGCTTTACATCCAGATCCAGAAAGCTAGCTCACCCAAGGCTTTGCACAACGTGCAGTGTAAAAATTGAAAGACTTCACTTTTTCTTAAAATACTAAAAGCAAGCTACGGACGAGATTCATGCTCGGCCCTGTAAATCTAAGCAATACGCTCTCGTTAGAGTGCAGAGCTGCAGAAGTAAAGAATGTGTTTACACCAGCTGGGCTCCCAGCCATGAGATTTTTTACTATAAACATGTTGCATGTTCATTTACAGAGTACATATCCCAAGGGCGTCCAAAAATCTGGGAGTTACAAGAGTCAGTGGATTCATTGAGAACATTATGGCCCACATAGTGAGGAATGGGGACCAGGCACACGAAGCCATTTATCTCAGAGGCCTAGGATCTTGGGGGCACACAAACGGTTAAAAGTTTAATATTTCAAGAGCTTGAAGGCAAATCAAGGACATGCATATAGTGTTGGATGTGAGATGGGTTGGGAACCAAAAATAAATAATAAATATGGCAGTGTCTCTAAATATACAGCTTTGTAAATGTGTGCTTTGCCCAGAGAATTCATCTTTGTAACATTCCTATGAACGGACAAAACCTTGACAACACATACTGAGCCTCATTCATTGCTTTTCTCTTTGCCTTCCAACTGTAGGCCACCTTGATCCTTCGTCACCTCCTCCCACCACCTTTGTTTCTAAGCTTTATTAATGTAAAATAAATGGACTCCTGCAGATGCTCCTTCAGGACTCACCTTTTTGTGTACTGAGTTTGTGGAGCCTTGCAGTAAATATGACGGTTGCTGGCCTGAAGAATGTAGTTGTATGGCTGTGCCCCATCCTACCTCAGGCACAGCAGTAGTCCATTCCTCTCTTCCCTCTTACCAGACCAGTCATATGGAAGTGTCTTTGTTGGGCCCTGCCAGAGTACATAGTGTCTTATGGTGTGTCATTCCAGGTAGATTTGTCATCCTCTCTCCAAGAGAATCTACACCTGTCCTCTTCCCCTTTGCAACCATAGGCATGACCTAATGTGCCCTGGGAAGCCTCCCCATATTGTGACAGTAACTGCCTATTGTTCATTTGGAGGACAAGTGTGGATTGGGAAGGGTTGGGGAACCCCAACCCCAACACAGTGTAATAGAGAGGATGAAAAATAGGGAGAAACTCTGCTTTGGTCTTGGGCAGTGATGCAGGCTAACCTTTATTTATCCATGTGTTCTAGGCTTGGAACTGATCTAGTGCTCCTTTTGCAGTGTTAAGCTTCACAGAGTCCATATGAGATTGGTTCAGTCGTGCTGAGTGATGTGGATTAAGAGTTCAGTCTGACTCCTTAGCTTTCCAGCTTTGACTTTGGAGATGATTTTCAGCCCTAGAGCCCTGGTTCCTCAACCATAAAGTGAGAATAAAACCTAGGCTTGCTGGAAGGATTGGACTAAGTGGCACTATAACTCTAAAGCGTTTGGAATTAGAACAGTAATGTACTAAGAAGAAGCAGCCATATGCCTGCATGTTGGGGACTCTTATTTTTTTTAGCTGTGTCACATATTTGTTGAGGCAACATGAAAGCCAATCCAAGAGAAAACCTAGTACTTGCTGCAATGCAGCATGTTCAGTACCTAGAATTAGGGCTCTGGGATCCAAGGGAGGCACCAACTCACCTGAGCACAGAATTGTGTTACCACACATGTGCAGGATAGTGTATGTACACACAATAAATAAATAAATAAATAAATTATCAAAACAAAGATTACCATCTTGAACCAATTCTATTAGACTTTCTGAGGGCAGAGGCTGGCCTTTTTGCAACATTTGCCAGGCAAATCAAAGGCAGAGGAGGTGGAGACTCTTGACACAGGGTGTATTAGTCACTTTCCTGTTGCTGTGATAGAAACACTGACTGAAGCAATTTATAGAAGGAAGAATTTATTTGAGCTTACGGTTCCAGGGGAATTACAGTCTGTCATGGCAGGGAGGCATGGTGGCTGGAGCAGGAGCAGGAGCAGCAGAAGCTAAGCTTTCACATCATCACAGGCACAGGAAGCAAGAGCACAGCTGGAGATCTGGTAAGGCTTAAGAACTCCCTAAGCCCACCCCCAGTGACATGCTTCCTCCAAAGATAGCCACACCACCTAAAACCTCCCAAAACAGCGCCATCATCTGGGAACAAAATGTCCAAATACTTGGAGCCTACGGGGGACATTTTCATTCAAACCACCACAAGGGGCCACACTGCCATACCTATCAGTGTTTGTTCTCGGCAGTGACTGGATCCTATGAAGCATGAGGACGGGCCATTAACTTATTCCACCCAAGGAGGCAGGTTCAGGCACAAACCATCTCACTTTATCTCTAGAGCAACCTGCCCAGAAACTATCCCTCTCATTTTACAGGAATTTCCCTCAGGTCACACAGTGAACAGCATCCTCTGAATCTAGTTTGAAGTCTTAAGTCCATGGAATGTGTGTCCCCGTCAGCTCCTCTCTGCTTCCCCAACCATGGGCCTAGAGAAGAAGTTCTGCACTGGCCACTCATAAAGGGTGCTGGAGCCTGACAAGCCCACAGAACTCAGAGCATTTCCATGACCAGTCCAAAGCTGGTGGTTGTCTGGCCAAATCTACCCCCACACGGTTATTAGAGGGTTTTTAAGTTTGTAGCCAGCATTTGTTTTTTGTTTTATTGTTTTGAGGCAG